ATTATTTTCGTGTATCTATACTGTCAGATTTCTAGGTCAATCTCTTTTTGTTATGCCTATTACGAATATAGGATTATTTTTACAATTTTGGCCATAAGGTTCTCTTTAAGGTGATCTATTCATATTACTTTTAGTTGGTAATGTTACTAAATCATTCATCTTTTTATTTCTTTTTAAAGTGGAAATTTGGAGCTGTCGGCAAAATGTTTTCAAGATCTGCTCCTTAGGGATCAAAATCATCCTGCTGCCTTAATAAACTATGCTGCTGTGCTCTTGTGCAAATATGGTTCCCATGTTGCTGGTATGCTCTACCTTAATTTTAGTCTATAAATCTGGTGCTTAAATTTTTCAATATATTTCTCTTTTGGAGATGGTTCAAGTTTTTCTGGAAGTTGCCTTTCTTTCTCTTGTTTAAGACAAGCTTAATTAAGAAACCTGCTTAATCGTGGCCCCCTCTCACTAAATGTTAGGTGCTGGAGCAAATGCTGGTGAAGGTGCTTCTGCAAACCAGGTTGAAGCTATCCATGTCGCAAGGGACTGTTTATTAGCTGCACTGAAAGCAGATCCCAGAGCAGCACATTTGTGGGCAAATCTTGCTAATGCATATTACTTAATTGGTGACCACCGAAGTTCCAGCAAATGTTTGGAGAAGGTGCTCATGGCTCCTTGCTATAGCTTCTTTTTATTGAGGTTGTTCATTGGTTTCCTTTATCTTTTTTATCAAAGGTCTTTGTTTTTCCTTTTATCATGAAAATGTGGGAATCTTCTCTTATAAACGACTTAATTATGGAAATATTCAAAATTTATTTAGAGATGATACATGCTCTAGTGTTGATATTGTTTTTCTGCTCTTTTTTAATGTCTCACTATGTGAATGAGCAAATTTTGCTCATTGTTACCGTACTGTTCCTCGTCAGGCAGCAAGGCTAGAGCCTAATTGTTTGTCAACTCGATTTGCTGTTGCTGTCCACCGACTGAAGGATGTTGAAAGGTCTCAAGATCCAAATGAACAAATTTCCTTGGCTGGAAATGAGATGGCTTCAATATTAAGAGAAGGAGACACTGCTCCAATTGAGCCCCCCATGGCCTGGGGAGGACTTGCCATGATTCATAAGGTCCAACATGAAATTGCAGCTGCATTTGAAACAGAGCATAATGAATTGATGGAGATGGAAGAGCGTGCTGCCAACAGTTTGAAGCAGGTATTAGATTTTTCTGATTTCGAAGTGCTTTTTTATCTGCAAGAAGCCTTGCCACTTGGTTTTTGGAGAGATGCTATGTGACGTTAACTTTTAAGTAGCTTTTTGTCTTTCATGGTGGTGCATATGTTTCTTGTTATAAACAAAAGCCTTTGCTTTTTCAATTGTATCTATATGATCAGGCATTAGCTGAGGACCCAGACGATGCTGTGCAATGGCACCAGCTTGGCCTTCACAGCCTCTGTTCCAAACAATATAAAGCAGCACAGAAATATCTCAAGGCTGCAGTTGCTCGTTTCAAAGAATGCAGTTATGCATGGTCGAATCTGGGTATGTGTTAGTTCAAGGTTAATTTGTAGTTTGTATTCTTAATCATGAATTACCTCATGGAAAAATATAAATTGTTAGGTATTTCATTGCAATTATCAGAGGAGCCATCTCAGGCTGAAAATGTGTATAAACGGGCCTTGGCATTGGCAACATCTGATCAGGCACATGCAATCTTTTCAAACCTTGGAAATCTATATCGTCAGCAAAAACAATACGAACGAGCGAAGGCCATGTTTACAAAGTCGCTCGAGCTGCAGCCTGGCTATGCTCCTGCATTTAACAATCTAGGTCTTGTATTTGTTGCTGAGGGTCTGTGGGAGGAAGCCAAGTTCTGTTTCGACAAAGCCCTTCAGGCAGATCCATTGCTGGATGTGGCCAAGTCTAACGTGATCAAAGCTGTGGCTATGTCCAGATTGTGCCTAGCCCTGTCGTCATGTTTGCTTCAAGACTGATGGGATTAAATGAAGTTAGGTAGGTTGTGGTAACCCTGAATTAGGTTTTGTAAAGTAGCGTATCGCTTTTGGAAAGAAAATTTGAAAGAAAATCTTTCTATGTAATGATAGAAAGTACCAAATACATTTTATTTCCGACAAAAGAAACGTATTTCATTTTTTCCTTTTGTAAGAAGTCAGTCAGTGCTATTTGCACTCAAAAGACATCTACTATTGGCACCCTTTTTCTTTCTAGCGAAAAAGAATTATTAAAAATGAGGTTGGAGGAGAGTATGAATCAACATGGAGTAATCAATAAATTTAGATTTCTGAATAATCCGATTTGTTCGATTTTAGAAATTTTCCAAAACCATAGGAAATGATATGCCCCCGAGTAAAAATGTCCAACCCATAATTAATTTAGATGTAGCAAGATGTACATATGTGTACAGAAATATACTCCCAATTAATTAAAAGTAATTTTTCTAGACCCCAAAAATTAGTTCTGAAAGCATCATGTGCTTCTTGGTTTCCCGTGTCACATTTGCATTTTCATATTTTAAAATGACTTCTTACGAGCACGCTGGTGAGGTGAGAAAGCAGTCATCAACTTTTGTTAAAAGCATCAAAAGGAAATCTGATATAAAATTATTTTCCTAAACTCGAGGGTCCAATTGTGATTAACATTGTTTGAAGTGCAGTCCAAGGTTTCTGTTTATGTATTTGCTATTTGTTATTTAGGTAAAAGGCGTAAAGGGGTATATTACCAAATTTTCTTTGAGCTTTTAACCAAAAATGTACGTATAGGAAGATTGTGTATATACATTTCTTCATCTTGCATCATCATGTAGTTCAATATTTTTCCAGCCAATCAGTACAAACTCCAGAGAATTATGACCCACACAATTAAAATAATTTTTTTAATGTAAATTAATCAAGTGAAGAAAAGAAAAAGAGCTCTATCACGTTTCCTTTGTTTTGAAGTTTTATGGAGAAGCAATGATTATTATACATTAAACAAGTTTTTAATTTATTTGACCACGTTCTTCCCCTTTACGATTTTTTAATTAATTTTTTATTTGGCGCATAATTTAATTTCTTTATAGCTTATTTATTTTTAGATATCTAAATACGCCGTCGTATTAGGAGACCACCCAAGGCATCAACTTGCCTTTTACTTTCTTGCTGCTTCTTTCAGCTTCCAAAGGCATCAACTTGCCGAAAAAGGAAACCAAGACCCAGAACCCACTCATCTTCTGGTGTCATTAATAAATTCACAATTAAAAACAAAAACTATATATATATATATATTCAAATATATTAAATGAAAATGAAAAAAAAAAAAAAAAAAAAAGAAAAAGAAAGAAAAAACCTTATCCAATAATCTTTTATATTCACGAAACTTCATCATCTTCACTCGCTAACTCATGCAGATATGAAAATCATAATCCCCAGACTACCCCTTCTCCTTTCCTTATTCTTTTTTCTCTTCATTCTCTTCTTCTTCTTCTCTTCTTCCTCCTTCCACCGGAAAACCATCTTTCAAAATGCAGAAACGACGCCCTCCGGCGACCTCCGTATCAGAAAAGGTTACACCTCCTACGACGCTTATATTCACCATCAGCTAAAAAAAAGTTTAAACCCGAAACTCAGAAAAATATGGACCACGCGAGATTGGGACCGCAAGGTGCGCGTGTTCGCCATTTTCTTCCAGAGCCTAAAGCAAAGGGGGCTCTTGTTTAACGAGTCGAAGGCGTTGTCAATCGGGGCTCGGGTCGGGCAGGAGGTGGCGGGGTTGAGGAAGGTCGGGGTGGCTGACTCGGTGGGAATGGACCTGGTGCCGTGCCCGCCGCTGGTGGTGGAGGGTGACTTCCACGCGCAGCCGTTTAAGGATGAGAGCTTCGACTTCGAATTCTCGAACGTGTTCGACCACGCGCTTTACCCGGAAAAGTTCGTTAGGGAGGTTGAGCGGACGTTGAAGGGCGGAGGAATCTGCGTGCTACACGTGGCGTTGTCGCGGCGGTCGGATAAGTATTCCGCGAATGATTTGTACAGCGTGAGGCCGTTGGTGGAGATGTTTAAAGAGTCGGAGTTGATGGAGGTGAAGAAGGTTGACGGGTTTGGACTTGACACTGAGGTCGTTTTCAGGAAGAAGATGAAGAAGATGATGAAGATGACGATCATGGAAGAAACAAATTAAAGGCTATAATTTTTTATTTTTTATTTTTTACTTTTTAAAATTTGGTTAAAATCATTTATTGATTTGTTTAGTTAATTGTTGATGAAACCACGTAAATTAATTTGATAATTACGGGGCATGCATATATCTTATAGTTATTATTATTATTATTATTTTAAGAAAGATAGCTCAGTTAATTTAGTTAATCTGTTTGTTGATGAATAATATGCTTAATTAGGGGATTAATTAATATATGAATTAATTTTTATCCCTCTCTTAATTAAGCTGATTGTTGACGAATAGTATGCTCACCCGCCCGACGAGAACAACCAAATAGTCCTCAACAGGGGAAAAAAGAAAATATGTACATACACACACATATATATAGACACATGTAAGCATAATTTCAAATACAAAGAGCTTTCTGAGTGAACTTACCACCACGTACCAGAGGCTCGTCTCTTTCAACCAAGTTAGCCGTTAGGGTATAGGTATATGTGTCATAAGCAATTTAGCACGTAAGTATCTACGTCCAACCGCAGAGATATGTCTTCCATACACTGTAGTTAGGAGTAATGATTACGTATAAAATGGGTTCATGGTTACGTATAGTTCTGTAACCAAATAATGTAATCAAAATACAAATTTGATTGCACTACAAAGTAATGGCACCAGATCAAGCATGCTGTAAATAGTTTTAAGGGTAATATTATTGTGTTATGAATGTTCTTACCATGGATCTTATTGTCTCTGAGGTCAGAAACATGAATGATTGTTAAATGTGATTTTACAGAATATTCTATTTCTGCTTTATAATTAAATCAATATGTCGATGTGAATTAACAAATTATTTTTACTGTGTAGCTTCTGTTAATCATGGACTGGTCCAAATTTGAATTAGTCCCGATCTTCTAATCAAAAATGAAAAAAGTATATGTAATAAAAAAGTAACAAAAAGTAATAATTAATATATATATATAATTGAAATAATAAAAAGAAGAATTTGGGCAGAGAATTTTTTTGAACCGTAAGAGGGATCAGGTTGCAATTGCCTTAGCAAGGAGATGAAGTGGTGAAGACCTCTTAAAAATAGGAAAATCTTGTAGATATTATTGTGTAATTTTCCTTCCTATATTTCTAGTTTATTTTTGGTTTTGATGTACTTTAAATCTTCATGCCCTTGTGATTTGTAAATAATATAATAAATAAAATACAATACACAGTGATATGGACATGGATTCAAAAAGCATTTGTAGATCACACAAAGAGAAGTACAAGAAAAGATTACAACGCAATTAATCCAATCACAAAATTTCAAGCCAAGAAACTAAAACATGTATTCTAAGCCTTTGTATAAAAATAGATACAATAAGAACTTAACACATGTGGACTCATTGAAGAGTCAAAAGAGGCAAAAATGATCATTATTTTGTCCAAGTATGTGGGCAAAATTTAAAGTATATATCTAAGTTTATTTTGGTCATTTCCTAAATAATTAAATTCTGTTCATATTACTTTAGATCATTTAATACCATTTTTTCGTAGGTCATTTTTTAAATAATTAAATTCTATTCATATTTTTCTAGATTATTTAATATCATATTTTTGTAGGTCATTTCTTAGATAATTAATTTCTGTTCATTTTTTTGATGTGATACCCACTGAGGACAAACCTAAACTAGTGGAAGTCAAGAAACAAGCTAGTACTGATGAGCTTCCAGGAAACGAAAGAAAGCACTTGCGAGGTAACAATAATACTCCAGACTACTTTATTTTCGATCAAGTATCAAATAGTAAGACCGAATCTACCAAACAAAAATCCTGACTTAGCAAGAAACGACACAAGAAGGTGCTAGAAAACCGAAGGGTAACGAGCCTTACTGTTGAGGAATGACTCGACCTGAAAATCCCAACCCAAAAAGAGAGCCCAAATGTAGTATAGGTATGGGTGCTTGTGGGGTATACCTGTGTCACGATACTCATGTTGAATACTTTGCCACCTTGTTCGTCGATGTTCCAAGGTCCCGTAATGAACTAATCAGAGCGACCTTATACCCCACAAGAAAATTAGAGGCAAAAAAACTTCTTGACACATGGGCACATAGGCCCATACAGTCCAACCAACACGCCCCATGTGCACCCAGGCGTATGCACGACCGCATGGACTGCGCACACAAGCGCACATTGGTGCCTATGCATGTGGCTCACTGGCTTGCGTGCGGAGCCCATTGTGCACGCACAGGCCCAAAGGGTTGAATGCATGCGCGTCATGTGGATGGTCCCTGAACTAGCCCAACAGCCCCAAATGTGCAAGCCCGTAGCCACTCGCAGACTTGCCTCGTGTGACCCGAGCTGGTCGGTCTGCCCAACCCGTCTGGGTTGCGCAAAACCGACCATCTACTCATTTTTACTTAATTAATATTTTTATTTTATTATTTTAAGACTTTTGGACCCCACATTTCTAATTTTCCATATGTTTAATTAATTTCCACATGCCTTAATTAATTTTTCCATATGTTTTACATGAAAATCACATGAGATAAACCTCATCTTATTTTTATTATTATTTTAATATAAATTCTATCCTTAAAATTATTTAATTAATTATCTTGTATTTAGATGTAATATAATAAATATTTTATTATGTAATTATCCTAAAATTAGATATAATTTTATCTAAGATATTATCTTATTAATTTCTTTAAGAGATTATAATCATCTAAAATTATCTTAAGAAAAGCTATAAATAGTATTTGCCCATAGTTTGTAAACACATTAATTACAATCAATTTGAAAGAAATTCTTGAAAGCTTAGACTTTTCTTCTATTAACGTTTTTGGTAATGAAACTTCTTCAAGTTCTTTCAGAAGCAAGAGTTTTCAGAAGTTTTGTTGAAACAAGAAGTGAGAATCAACTTATTGGTAAGTCCATGATGTTTTTTCTTTCTTTATTTTATTTTTTCTAGTTTTTGTTTTTGTATTCCTTTTAAAATTGTAGATTCAATTAGAGGGAGGAATTTTCTAGGCGTTTAAGTTTTGGTATTGCATAACATTGAGTGGGTTATAAGAATTATTTAACCTCCCCATACCCTCCTGTGTCATCTTGTATCAGAGCTTAGGCTCCTAAAACTCAAATCTATCTTTATTGCTTTCAGCATTTTGTTCATTAGTTAATAATTCAAATTAACTTTTTGATTTGTTAATTCATATTGCATCCCGCTTGAATTCATTTATCTATCTATTCAATTCAAGTGGTTCATGTTTATTATTAAAAAAAAAATTATATAGATCAAAATTACAAAAAAAATCCTAATTGCATCCCATAAGGGAATTGGCATGTTGTTTACATTTTGCATAATAAAAGTAGAATAGCAGCCTGATTGGTGACTAGAAGTCCTTTGAAAAATCAAAGGCAAAGTACCTCACCTAACGGGTGCGAGTGAAAGCTTTTGTTTTCATTCCACACATTATGTAACACCCAAAATAATTTTTCTATTTTATTTTATTTTTGATTTAATTTAATTTAAATTAATTTTTGTGAATATAAAGATATTAATAATGATAAAATTGGGTAAAAATATTATTTGGATTTAATTGAAATTGATTTTGGAAAAAAGGGGTGAAAATTTGGATTCTGGGGGTATTTTTGAAAAGGAATTCGAAAATCGGGGGTCAAAACGTAATTTTAAAAAATTGTGCCTCGTCAACGCCACGTCAGCAGCCACGTCAGCGGCCCAGTCAGCAGCCCTGGCCAACCAGGACCGCCGCGTGGCAAAGCCACGCCGACCCGGGAACGGGCCACGTGGGCGATCCGCGTGCGCGTGATCGGACGGCCCGGATGCGTCCCCGCGCGCACGGACAGCCCAGATCAAGCGTGCGCACGGACGGCCCAGATGCACGCGCACGGACGGCCCAGATTCAATCAAGTACGGACGGCCCAGATTCAATCAAGTACGGACGACCCAGATTTAATCCAAATTAAATCGCGATCGAACGGCCCAGATTAAATCAAGATGGATGGCTGTGATTAAAAGGCAAAGGAAATAAATAAACCCCCCACACCTGACCACAAAAACCCTAGCCGCCGCCCTCGCCGGAGAAGACGAACTAGACGCCGGAGGAGCCGGCCGCCGCTACCTGCCGCCGCACCGGGGAGTTTTCTGACCGCCGATCGAGGTAAATTTCATACCCCTGACTCATTTTTCAATGCTGAGTTCCCCTGTGGCCAAATCGGAGCCAAACTCCCAGCCAAACGGCCGGAAAACACGGCCGAAACGCGGTGCCGCCGTGCCCCTCCTCGATTTTTGCCTCCGATGAGGCCCTTCCCGGCCTCCGTTTGATACAATTTTTATATCACCGTGATCACCATTCTTTTCTCTACAGGTTAATCGGAGCCAAATCACCAAAACACGAACCACACTGGAGAGCCGCCGCACTCGAGAGCATCGCCGCCGGTAAGCTTCGGTTTTTCGTAATTTTTTGGCCCCCCGAGGGCCCTAGGGTTGTTTTATCGCTGGGACCGATGCAAGTGTGGCCGAATTCGACCGGAAACAGCAAAAAATGCCCAACCTGAGGTGAATCACCGCCGCAAGTGGCGGCGCCGTCGCCGGAGCACGGTGGAGCCACCGTGCCAGAATTACGATATTGGCCGAAAGGGGCCCTGGGTCTAATTTGGGATTTTTTGGGACACGTGCAGGTACCAGTAGTGCATTTCAATTCCCAGGAAAAAATTCAGGGAAAATGAGGGACAGCCTGTAGGCGCACTGTAGAGCCGTATTCAGACCCCGAAACAAGTAAGGACCCCTCACCCTATTTCCTATCACGGTATTAAAGTTCAATAAATGATAAAACGGTATTTCATGAATCAATAGATGTGTGAAATTGTTTAAGGTCGCTAATGGAGCCTGAGTCTGGTGTGTTTGTCGGTCAGCTGTTGTTTGGCCTATTTTACAGTTTTAAATGCAGTATGAGGTCTGATGTTTTCATTTCATAGTTTCGTGTGCATATATCACTGTTTTATTGATTATGGGTTAAATGACTGAGAACCCGATGTTGT